TTAGTCATTTTACAGTATTATACATATAGGTACTACATGTGGACCTCTCAGATTTGTTCATTTTCTAATGATATCTTCTGTTCTTTAATTGCCATGTGCATTGCTAACAGCGGAGCTATCTCAGCCGACAGGCTGCTTGTTTCACTACTGAGCATGTTACTGCACATATATGCAATGCATTATGGGAAAACACTTCCCATTTTATGTACTGAAAAACTTATGACACTGAGAACTCACTGTTACAAATGTCAATTAGTTGAAATGTTGTTAACAATAATTAGGATTTGTATCAATAATAGTATATGAATATTTCAATCATAGAAACCAGTTTGAAAAATTGAATTTTGATCATTTTTCATGAAATTTTCGTCTCTTCTTATTCTAAAAATTGCCCAGTGATCTCATTTAATAATATTCACAAGGCATTGACCTACAGTAATCATGAAAAAAATAATGTCATTTTTAATTTGGCTGAAAATATTTGAATAAGCTGAAGAAATATAACGTACTGATGAGGACACCTTGCTTAGTAATGGTCTACACAGTTACAATGTAGTTTGTCACATGGTGACCAAAGTTATTCAAATTGTCTGTAAACTGTGAATTACAGTTTATAATAATTATGTATAATAATTAAAGAATAATTAGTAGTAGTTTGATTAATTATAGCTTGACTTATTTATGTGACAAAGAGAAAAAAGTTTCTTTGTGTTTCTTGTGTATTTGCATTCATGATATATATATTTCTACTCGGCCATGGCATTTTTCTGAGTAAACACATCATACTGATAAAGGCAAACAAAATCCATTAAAATCTGAAATATGTACTTCACCTCAACTTTAATCATATAAAGACTATTCCATGCTGCCAAAGCTTATGAGGGTGCTGCATTGATGTTAAAGGTAACTTGATTTCAATTTATTTTTACATTTCCTTATATCAATCACATTAAAGTGCCTGTGAAATGGCTGCTATTTTCACGCCTAAAATTATCCATTGATACATAAATATTATTAATTTTTATGTTTCTAAGCATGAATTATTTTTTTTAAAGTGAAAAAATGTGTTTTATACTCGATCTATGGCAACTTTATTTTTGTGTATTTTAAAACGAGACTCCTCATTAGTTTTTTATTTGCATACAGAAATTCCCCTTGTGACGTCAGAAGGGGAAGTCGCATGGCAGCTTGCATTGCCGATGCGTGTAAATAAGGCAAATTTCTTGTGCAGTTTTCTCATCTTTGACTATATTGTCACTTATGTACTTGTTCGTCGAGGAAGAATGGACCATAATGAACACATAGTATCAATTTTTGTTGCATGGGGTTGAGTTAGATGCAAAATATGTCCGTTCTGGTGTAGCTGGTCACCGTGATCGTCACCGACACCGGCGCACGTTTGTACACTGTTGCTTGACAAAATAGGTTACTAGGCACGTCACTACACTGTTTTATTTTATCGATCGTCTGGGTAAAACTTTCAAAATTAAAATAAAAGAGAACATATTTTGACATTCTAAACATTAGACTATAGTGATCATTATAAAATAATTAAACAAATGACAAAGGACAGTTACTAAATAAATGACAGCCGCGTGGAAATAAATTTTTTGTTGAAATAGGGGAACGCGTCGGGTCACGACGAAGGCAAGTGCGTTAAAAGCGGCGTTTAATTGAATAACAATAATAATCGAGATCGACACACATACAGATAAATTAGGAGTTGATTCGAGTTAGCGTGATCCATGGTGTGATTGTCATAATTATAACATCATATTAAAACTTTATTTAGTGGAAACACATTGACCAAGCCCGGATTCTTATTTCATAAATTATTACGCAGATCAAGCTGCAAGCATGGAGGTAAAAAAAAAGAACAGAGGTGTGAATTCGACATTCAACACCAATCACCAAACAATTCAAAAACTTTTAGCCTTCGAAAATGAAAACAATTAGCAGTGTGTAAGGGCTGTGTAATTTTCTGTTCGTTCGACGCTTTGTTTTCGTGTCACTACTACGTGTCATTGCTACTCTTTACTTAACAAGGACTAAATGGTCTCTATAAAACGATAAGCAGGATCGCAAAAAAAGTCAACTCATTTGAAACACTTGCCGTCACTCTCTCTCTCTTCTGAAATCCGCCTCGGTGATCATGGTCCGATATCTATCTCTTTCAAAAGTGTTGCGCCAGGTTTATGTTGTCGGCGTTTTTCTCTTTAAACTTAGTTTTTTTTTCTCATGGACGAGAACAGTTTTTCGACAAAAAAAGAAGCTGAGGTTAAGTGGCTTTCGTCCACTGATGTTGCACTTTCGGATCGATTAGAAACGTGTGAATACTTACACAACATCTAAAAAGTCTCTCTCAAAAAAAAAAAATAGACAAAAAAAAAGACAAAAAACGCCGACCGAAAAATGTATATTGTTTAAAAGTATCCTGAATGACCAGTGTTATTACGGCTCAGGGGTATGACTTCCTCTCACATTTTGTCATTTGGTGGCGCACTTTCGGCGAGAGTCGAAAATCCGGAAACAGTCGACCGTTTCAGGATAGGTGGGCGTGGCTACAACACGAGAAATATCCCAAATTTACTTGGATACGAGTAATCATTTTCAGCAAAAAAAATCAATAACTGCCTATTTCAGTGGGACTCAGATCTAAAATGGGAAACATGAGGGTGGGCATTGCACAGGCACTTTAAGATATTTTCTTTTGTGTCACCTTTATGACATTGCCTTTCATGTGTTTCATGTGTAGGAAATGAAAAATTTAGATGGTGCAGGTGATTTGATGGAACAAGCTGCACAGATGTACAGAGAACATGGTACGCCAGATACAGCGGCTTTGACATTGGAAAAAGCAGCTAAGTGAGTGTTATAATTTATAAGAACAAAATGATGTATTGATATTAGTGTGACTAAGTGTGATTTAAGGTAGAAGGAACAAACATTTGTAGGTATGTCCCTTGGCCAGCAGTTGTGAGTGTGTCTCTTGGCCAACAGTTGTGAGTGTGTCTCTTGGCCAACAGTTGTGAGTGTGTCTCTTGGCCAACAGTTGTGAGTGTGTCTCTTGGCCAACAGTCGTGAGTGTGTTCCTTGGCAAGCAGTTGTGAGTGTGTCTCTTGGCAAGCAGTTGTGAGTGTGTCTCTTGGCCAACAGTTGTGAGTGTGTCTCTTGGCCAACAGTCGTGAGTGTGTTCCTTGGCAAGCAGTTGTGAGTGTGTCTCTTGGCCAACAGTCGTGAGTGTGTTCCTTGGCAAGCAGTTGTGAGTGTGTCCCTTGCCCAACAGTCGTGAGTGTGTTCCTTGGCCAGTAGTCTTGGGTGTGTTTCTGGGCTAGCAGTCTTGGGTGTGTTCTTGAGCCAGCAGTTGTGAGTGTATTCCTTGGCCAACAATCGTGAGTGTGTTCCTTGGCAAGCAGTTGTGAGTGTGTCTCTTGGCAAGCAGTTGTGAGTGTGTCTCTTGGCCAACAGTTGTGAGTGTGTCTCTTGGCCAACAGTCGTGAGTGTGTTCCTTGGCAAGCAGTTGTGAGTGTGTCCCTTGCCCAACAGTCGTGAGTGTGTTCCTTGGCCAGTAGTCTTGGGTGTGTTTCTGGGCTAGCAGTCTTGGGTGTGTTCTTGGGCCAGCAGTTGTGAGTGTATTCCTTGGCCAACAATCGTGAGTGTGTTCCTTGGCCAGCAGTTGTGAGTGTGTCCCTTGCCCAACAGTCGTGAGTGTGTTCCTTGGCAAGCAGTTGTGAGTGTGTCCCTTGCCCAACAGTCGTGAGTGTGTTCCTTGGCCAACAGTCGTGAGTGTGTTCCTTGGCAAGCAGTTGTGAGTGTGTCCTTGCCCAACAGTCGTGAGTGTGTCCTTGCCCAACAGTCGTGAGTGTGTTCTTTGGCAAGCAGTTGTGAGTTTATTTCTTGCCCAACAGTCGTGAGTGTGTTTCTTCGCCAACAGTCATGAGTGTGTTCCTTGGCAAGCAGTTGTGAGTGTGTTCCTTGGCAAGCAGTTGTGAGTGTGTCCCTTGCCCAACAGTCGTGAGTGTGTTCCTTGGCCAGTAGTCTTGGGTGTGTTTCTGGGCTAGCAATCTTGGGTGTGTTCTTGGGCCAGCAGTTGTGAGTGTGTCCCTTGCCCAACAGTCGTAAGTATGTCTCTTGGCCAGCAGTCGTGAGTATGTCTCTTGGCCAGCAGTCGTGAGTGTGTTCCTTGGCCAATAGTCGTGAATGTGTTCCTTGGCCAATAGTCGTGAGTGTGTTCCTTGGCCAACAGTCGTGAGTGTGTCCCTTGGCCAGCAGTCGTGAGTGTGTTCCTTGGCCAGTAGTCTTGGGTGTGTTTCTGGGCTAGCAGTCTTGGGTGTGTTCCTTGGCAAGCAGTCGTAAGTATGTCTCTTGGCCAGCAGTCGTGAGTATGTCTCTTGGCCAGCAGTCGTGAGTGTGCTCCTTGGCCAACAGTCGTGAGTGTGTTCCTTGGACAACAGTCGTGAGTGTGTTCCTTGGCCAACAGTCATGAGTGTGTCCCTTGGCCAGTAGTCTTGGGTGTGTTTCTGGGCAAGCAGTTTTGGGTGTGTTTCTGGGCAAGCAGTCTTGGGTGTGTTTCTGGGCTAGCAGTCTTGGGTGTGTTTCTGGGCTAGCAGTCTTGGGTGTGTTTCTGGGCCAGCAGTCTTGGGTGTGTTTCTGGGCCAGCAGTCTTGGGTGTGTTTCTGGGCCAGCAGTCTTGGGTGTGTTTCTGGGCCAGCAGTCTTGGGTGTGTTTCCCTGGCCAGCAGTCTTGGGTGTGTTTCTGGGCAAGCAGTCTTGGGTGTGTTTCTGGGCAAGCAGTCTTGGGTGTGTTTCTGGGCTAGCAGTCTTGGGTGTGTTTCTGGGCTAGCAGTCTTGGGTGTGTTTCTGGGCCAGCAGTCTTGGGTGTGTTTCTGGGCCAGCAGTCTTGGGTGTGTTTCTGGGCCAGCAGTCTTGGGTGTGTTCCTGGGCCAGCAGTCTTGGGTGTGTTCCTGGGCCAGCAGTCTTGGGTGTGTTCCTGGTACAGCAGTCTTGGGTGTGTTCCTGGGCCAGCTGTCTTGGGTGTGTTCCTGGTACAGCAGTCTTGGGTGTGTTCCTGGTACAGCAGTCTTGGGTGTGTTCCTGGGCCAGCAATCTTGGGTGTGTTCCTGGGCCAGCAATCTTGGGTGTGTTCCTGGGCCAGCAATCTT